CATGTTGACAAGGTGTCTACCTGCCTATTACACACTACCTCGTCCATCTGGCTCCAGGAGACAGTTGGTCGTTGCTGGAGGGGACGGGGAGAACGGTCCTTGTGGCCGCGCTAGAATCAAAGTGTGCTTCCGTGCACTCAGTGTGGAGCGGACTACGGTCCAGCCACCGTCTTGTGTGCACTTGATTCCCCAAATACAGCGTGCTTGTGTTTGCCTGTGGGCCGGCTCAGTTGATGAAACGTGGCTCCCATCCGCATGCCTCCCGGTCTTAGTATTTCGGTTTTACACTGGATATGGGGTGTGGATGGAGCTGTGGGTGGTGCAGCGCAAGCCATCTATGGTCCTTCTGTAGGCACAGGTGCCCTGTGGCTGGCCACAGTGACAGGCAAATCCGAAACCGGATGCCGCCAACCATATATAACCTAGCTGCTTAGTCTTTCGCAAGAATCATGTCTTCTGAAAAAAAGCGGGGCATCCACAATTTTGCTGATAAAAATGTTGGGAAGCCGCAATTAGAATTGAAAGACCACTTCGAAGAAGTCATTCACAATTAGTAGGAAAAGATACTACACTCTTCAAACGGAAAGAAGTTGCGCTAAATCGTTCGCGCCTGGTACATCGGGATCCTTTTTTCAGTTAACTGAAGCTGGTCATGAAGCTTCGCATCGCATCACTCTCCTAATCGCCAAAAACAAGAAACCGCATACTATAGTAGAGGATCTCATCAAGCCTTATATAATGGATGCGGTGAAGCTCGTTCTTGGAGAGCAATATGCGAAAAAGATAAGAATGACAATACCACCAAAAGTCGTATCGAGGACATGAGCAAGAAAATTTTGAACACGGTGCTCAACGAAGTCGTCCTTTCTTGGTAATACAGTTAGATGAATCGATCGACGTCGCAGCTTGTTCACAGCTACTTGTCTGTTTGGTACATAAAAGGCGACGGCCTCAACGGAGAGTACATGCTCTCGGAATCAATGAGCACAATTACACGTGGCGAAGATGTCTTTCGAACGATGAAGGATTTCGTTGGGGAAAAGGAATTAAAGTGGTCGAAGTTGGTTGGTGTCTTTACAGACGGAGCACCAACCATGTTGGGCGTCCGTTCTGGATTAGTTAGTTAGTTAGTTAGTTAAGAAAAATTTGCTCCGCAAGCTACCTTTATCCACTGCATCAGACCTCGTTATGCTTTAGCAGTGAAAACTTCCACCTGCTTTTCTGGACGCGTTAACCAAGATAGTAAAAATAGTAAATGTCATCCGCGGTAGTACAACCTATACAAGAGTTTACACGGTTGTGCAACGAATTTGAAGGCAAATCCGACGTGCTGCTATTGCACACAGAAGTGCGTTAGTTATCACGAGGCAGGGTGTTGCATCAAGTGCTCGAGCTTCGAGAAGAAATTGCAAGGTTTTTTTAAAAGAAGGGAGCTGCATAAGGGTAGGCGGAACGGGTTAACATCAATGATAACGGACAACGTATTCATTTCCAAAGTAGTATATCGTGCGGATTTCTTCGCTGTACCCCAGCTTGCAAGGAAATATGATTAAGAACTTAAATGCTCAGGATAGGATTGACAGTTTTCTTTGCAAATTGCAGCTTTAACAACGCAGAGATACGGCTGACGACGTGTCGATGTTTCCAGAAGCAACAATATTTCTCGTTATGAAAAATGAAAAATGCACATTCACAGATGATATAACTTGTCACTTGTCGTCAGTGGTGCATTCTATTAGCAAATATTTGCTTGATTTGGAAAATCGCCAATTAAATGCTTGGGTGCTAAGACCCGTTTCACTGGATGAAGGAATGTTTCCAGATACTGAAATCGAAGTCAAAGCACAATTCCTAGGAATGCGTGAAGAAAGCAATTTTAAAACAGATTTCCAAACCACACAAATGGTAGCATTTTGGGAAGAGATAGGTGGTGAGTGGCCATTGCTATCGGAAAGAGTATTGGGAATATTGATCTCATTCGCAACAACTTGTAGATGCTAAGTGGATTTTCGACAATGGTGACGATGAGAACAAAAGCAAGGAATCAAATGAAGTTGGAGAGCGACTTACAATGTGCATTCGCCGAAACTGCATCAAATATACCAGAAATTGTTAGCTATAAGCAATAACAACCGTCTCATTGATGTATATCGCCTCTTGCTTGCATATAATGTTGCACTAAAATAACCGTTTTCATTCTTTTATTGGTCGAAAGTAATTCCAAATGCCTATCATGTTCCGTTATTAGAAGCAAAAAGCGCGAGAGTTAGTCGTTAGCGTTAGAAACGGAAGTTCGGGGGTTGAGTATAGTAAACGCTATTTGTGAGTAACAGCGTAAAGAAGGTTAAGAACCGTTGGTGTACAGTAACATGCGGAAAAGATAAATGATATCGCTTGCTAACAGCATCATCAGACGCATTCATGAACAAGAACACTTTGGACGGGGCACTTATTGAAGGAGTCATGTCTTTTCTGTACATTACACTCAGATGAGTGTACTAACATTACATCTCGTTCATTAAAATATCTCATTGTATGAATCAATGTCGATGCAAGCGAACATGTGTTTTTAATAATTCCTCTTCAGGCCTGTACAATTATGTGTGGGATGTCATCCGGCTCACGAAATGGAGTGTACGCCACATTCATGACCTAATGGATAGTGATTGTGCTTGAGTAGTGACTGTGAATTGAATTTCTCCGAACAAGCTTTACCTTGTGTCAAACATTTTGTTTTTCCCCACATATAATTGTCCAAGCCTGAAGAGGAATTATTGAAAACATATGTTCACTTGCATTGACATTTAAGCTTGTTCAGAGCTACCTGTTTATGTTCAGTGCATAGAAGACGACGGTTTCGGTGCTTGTTCTCAAAATCACTGAGCACCACTACACAACTTGCGATGTACATTAGCCGAAACCGCACCAAATATGCCAGAAAATGTTTATTCATCACCACTTGATTTAATGAAAAATTGCTCAAAATGAGGTTTGTTCTTTATTTGCATGATCGAAAATAATCACATAAGGTATGTATGTATGTAATCTCAACAGTCTAGCAACTAGACATAAAGCCAACAAAGCCATGGAAATCAGTGGATAGGAGGTATTCATTTTCCATACTTTAAAGCAAACATTGCAATAGTTACTAGGTAATTGGCTTTTGAAAATTTGGGGGTGTTTATAGTGAACTCGCTTTGGGGGCAAAGAACTCAAAAAGTTGGGAACCACTGGACTAGGAATTCCGTAGGTGCAGAGGACAGCACCTGTCAACAGGGAGAATAGTGTAGCAGATCCGAGCATCGATACTGCGTACCGGCGTAGTGCTGATGCCTTTCCTTTTCTTCGAGCGTTACCCTGTATCCATCTAACGGGTCTATGGCCTTAAGGATCACAATCTTGCCATGTAATCCAGAGGGGACAAGGTGACCCTCGCAGTATTCTTAGTCGACGCGCGACTGGTGGTAGTTGCACGGCAGTGAAACGCCGGTACTGCGCACCAGCGTACTGCTGATGCCCTACTGCAGTGATATATAACAAAAGGATACTTTAGTCAGACGGTCATGGATGTTTCCTCTGCTATTTACCTGCATCTTTCGTTTACAGCCATCACCCGTGCTTGTTTTCACCATTCACTCAGCTCAGGCTCGCCACGAGGTGTTAGTCAGTCGCACGTTACATTCAGTGTGGTCTCTCACTAGGTGGTTTTGATAAGTTCATCCAACCGCTTAGTAATTATTTTCACTGTAGCCCTCAGGTCCATTACGACCTACGAAAACGGCGGACACGGAAGCCCTCCGAATCCTTGACCGAACACATAGTACATATCTGACGATTCTGCCAGCTCATATCGCCAGTCCCTGAAGAAGGAGTGCGGCCGTAGCAGTGATCATAAGCATTCCCTTACGCGGAATTGTCCAAGCATCAGCAGTCTTTGTGCATCAGCAGGTTGACAAGGGTCAGAATTGCTGTAGGCACTGAGGACAGCGCCTCATAAGAAAAGGATAACGTAGCTCGTCAGTGTCGCTGTAGAAAAGCCAAGGTAAAATATCGCCTAGTTTAGCTTAAAAGGCCATTGTGGTTTAATCAGATTTGCTTTCACTTTCGTCTTCCCAGTCGTTAATGCTGCTATTTCCCGTGCGTTTTCATGTCACCCTTTCAATCACCTCAAGCTCGGTCCTCTACAACTGCGGCTGTGACAATGCAGTCCGGCTCACCACGAGGTGTAAGTCAGGCTCATCCTCCATTCAGCTACGGCTTTTACTAGGCGGTTGTGATGAAACAAACCATCTACTTACCAAATATCTCTTTGCCTTTCAGCCCCCTCGGTCTATTTAGTCCCACGTAGGCCTTAGATGGGGAAGTCAACGGAACCCATGACCGGACGCACACTACAATGACACCCTGTGGCAGCCGCATTTCGAGAGGACTGCTTTGCCCGGAGTTTTTCATGCATCACTATAAGGCACGAAAGCAAACTGAAGTTTTGAATACCCGCGCCTTGCTCACAATTCATAAATAACGTTTCGTGTAGTTGTTTTCAGAGAAGAAGGAAATCGACGCAGAGGACGAGCAGATCAGTTGGCTGACCCTCAACTGTTGAGCTGTCTAGTGTAAATGAGTGTGGAAACGTTCAGTGATAGCCAATAAGAGCAGATTAGCGGACCACGCAAGCATACAAGCGTCGCATCATGTAAAAGTCCAGGTTGGTCGTGATGACGACAAAGACCTGTTAAAACATTCAATGTTGGGAGAGTTCTGATCTTATGACAGAAATCTAACGGTAGCTACATTCATTAAGACACAATAAAAGAAACACTAGAGTCAAGTAAAGCTATGATAGCATGTTAACAGAAAGGACAAGCTACTTCTTGCTTAATCCGAGCAGACACTCACCACTTTGCAAAACCGCAAGAAAAGTATCGTGTAAGGTCTTCCGTAAAAGCAACAAGTTCCATAGAAGCAACTCGATCTAGGGAGAATTATGAAAACAACGTTACTTACGGTATAGTTCTTCCCATTAATTCAAGCATTATACTACCCTCACCACCGAGGTACTGATAGCAAAGAGCAAGGAAGCTATATATGGCTACCGCTGAAATCACAATCTGTAATGGCACGGAAAAAACTGAAAAGGTTACCCTCAGCGATGTCGCGTAGTGGCTCAACATATACGCTTCCTAAGGGTGCATGAACCGTGAGCATAAGACTGGTAAACGAGTAAACTGCGTAGGCGGGTATAATGAAAACAATCCTTATGATGCACCGTTGCTCTGGATAACACGTGTAGTTCTTCAAATGACAGTAAACCTGCATGCATCCATAACACGCTTGAAGCAGATAGGACTTACGTGATGAAGGGTGATGCAGCAAGCAAGCAGGGCACAAAAGCCAGCGAACGCTTGACTGTATGCCGAATGAACAAAATCGGACAGTATAGCTCGTTCAAAACTAGTAGATGATACTGGGGATGCCTCATTTTTTAAAGACAGGAGTAATTCACCAGCGTCTTTACTAGGGAAAGGTGTATTCATACAGCAGGTTGTAGTATGCGTCCGGTCGTGGGTTCCGAGGGCTTCTGGTTTCGGGGTGTACGTGTGTCGTAGTAGACTGAGGGGGCTGAAAGACAAAAGAGATACTTTGTAGGCAGCTGCACAATCACCTAATAAGTGTCGTGGCTGGATAGATGGTGTGTTTATATCACATCTCGTGGCCAGCTAGACGATAATGTCACCGCTGCTGATACAGGATCGAGCGCGAGGCGACTAGATGGATGGAGTGAAAGCGCACGATAGGCAGCTACTCTAACAACACCGAAGACGAAAAAGGAAAGCGAACAAAAGAGGAAACGAAGATCACAATATAGGCTACGCTCGACGATAACTTACCTGCTAGCTTGCTACGAAGACAGTGACGGGCGCTGTCCTCAGTGCCTACAGAAGCCCAGACCCATGTCGAGCTGCTGACGCAACAGACTGATGAGCGTTGTGACAGACTCGGATTTCTAGTCCTGTGCCCTGGTCCTGCTGCACCTTGGATTTGCCATCATAATTCTCACCGGCATTCATTTGTCAGTGGATTAATCGGCTTCTGTCCTACATAATATCCCGGTGAGCTGGTTCCAATAATTGTTCTTCGTGTTTGCTTTAGTTGTGGTTTTATCATTGGTTATCGTTGGCCACGGTTTCTCCGCATCATTATTCTGTTTTATCCCTGCATCTGTTTGTTAATTCTATCGTTTCGGTTTGGTCATGGCGTCAGTGGACATTTCTTATTGTGGACAGCATAGCTGTGGTAGAGTGGTTGAGAAAGGAATTTAACGCGATAGGTGCTTATCTTGGTAAGACAATGTTTGTTCGGGGTTGGACGAAGAGTTTATTGCATTGCATTCACTTCATCCTAACTTGAACTAGATTTGCTTTCACTGTTTATGTTTGGCGGACACGTACTCGCGTTTACTAGTTGGGGGACACCTGGGGCAGTCTCGGCAGGTCGCTGGTGGACAGTGTCTCTGACTATGACAACAGCAGATGCTCGATAGGGCAGAGGTTGATTCGGGAGCAGGGAGCTACCATTAAAGCATTGCGAGCAAAAGGTGACGTGTTACACGCACATTTCGAGAATTATGTGCGTAACACTGAACTCGCTATGGGTAGGCAGGGAAATGTGCTGATTTACAACCGACCGCTGCGGATGGCCAGCTATTGTGTGTTTAGCTACCATTGAGGTTGATTAACTTTTGGCTCTTCGTCGGAGTACTGTCTGCCTACTGTATAGTTTTTGCTAAGTGTGGCGTCATGTCTAACACACGATGTTTACATTGTTCAAAAGAAGTAACCAGGGGAATGCAATGTACTGCTTGTAACTTCTGGGCATGTGATCAAAAGTCTTGCCTTGAACTATCCGATACGCCGTTCAAAATCTACGCAGAGCACAAGGGTCAACTATGGATCTGCCGGTATTGCATTGATGAGGGCACACATTAGCAAGGAGACCGCAACACCAGCCTCCTGAGGTATTTTCGTCGCTTTCTTCACCTATATGAGCTAGAAAAAGCAGCAAAAGGTCATCAGGTGACACTTCAAATGGCCAAGCAGGGATGAATGTGGACCCAGACTGCTCTTATCCTCCTAAATGTTTGTCTGTCAACTCAGGGAAACTTAGTCACGCTCCTTCTGACTTTTACCTTCCGTAATCCCTGTCTTACCACATCCAGGAACACCTCCCGCTGCAGTCGTTGACCACATGACTTAAGAGGAAACACCACGGAGCGTCGGAGATAGAAAACACTCCGCGGCTCCTCCTAACATACGTAACCGACCACCCGATGTGTCAGAAACCGGTCTACTTCATGCAAGTAAATATTGTCTTATAATGTTACACACACCAGAATCCGAAGATTTCGACCGTATGTTCGGTAGGATCACGATGTTGCACTTCCACAAAGCTTGGTTGATCAGCTTTTAGACTCCGGTGAACACTTTTTGTGTAAAGCGAATTTTACGTCTTGGTAAACGAAGTCCGTCTACTTCACGTCCTCTACGAGCAGACTATGAAAAGGACATTGCTCCTAGGCGTCTTCTTACACAACATTGGCGTCCTAAAGGTTTGAAAATCCACTTGCAGGCTGACCTTACTCTCGAAGAAAGAAATTGCATCCAAAATGCCACCACAGAGCTTAAGCGACGGAGGCAACAAAGATAGAACTTATACGTCGTAAATTTTCGAATAGTACACAAGCGTCTGCTATTACTGGCGCGCAGCCCAAGCTAGTTACTGGGCTAGTTATTGCATTTACAAAGATCCGCAGTCTTATCGGTAAGTTTGACGAGGTGATGTTATGGGTAGGACGACAATGTCCAGATATCTTTTGCTTGACTGAAACGTAGCTCCATGCCGATATTACGGACCCCGAAATTCATTTGATGAATGCGCAACATTTCGGTGCGAAAGACACAAAGGTTCGAACGATAGCGTATTGTGAGGGCGTCAAATACTCACACACCACAGTAGTAACAGCCTGCGTGAACAACTTTGGTGCAAAATAACTGTTGGGCCAAATGAACTAAATGTGGGAGCTGTCTACCGGAGCCCGGTAAATACTTCTAGCGACGGCATCGATGTTAAGCGTGAACGCTTGAACTGTCGTGATTTCCTATTGTTGGGTGACTAATTTTCCACATGTTGACTGGTTACAGTAAAGAACTCTACCTGGTGGTAACATCCTCGAGACCGTTTTTGTCAACAAGTTAGTGGAAATGAATGCATCGCAACACATCGAATAACCTACAAGACAGCTTCATAGTCAATTTCGAAGTTGTTTTGATCTTAATTTTTACTAACAGTGAACAACCGCTTGATCATATTCAACTATTTGAACCCATTGGATCCAGTGACCACTCAATCATCGCAGCCATTCTACATTTACTATCTGCGGGATCCGTGCGAGTACCCAGTTGTTAACATTCGGAAGATAAATTAGGACAAATTGCTGTACACTGCTAAACATTGGCTGGTCACTGCCCCTGAATAGTGCTACAGGAGCATGCTGAGAGATGCTGAAATGAGATTCTCTTCAGCTATTGGACAAGTTCGCTCCGTTCACCACAATTAAGTCTTGGAGGGGGCCAATATGAAATTAATAAGGAATATGTTGTGCTATCGAGACGTCGCGCAAAATTGTGAAACCGATTTAAGCACACTAACAACCGAAGAGTATGCAGCCTGTAAGACACAGCGCAACCGCTGCAATGCTGGCAGGCCGGACGTCGCACTGGTGTCAGCTAGGTGGTTCGGGATTATCCCGTTCCAGTGAATAGTTCGGAGGCACTGTTCTAGGACGTGGTGGGTTTTCATTTTCGCAAGCGTTCTCCTTATAAAAAGCCACTAAGGTCCGCTTAACAACACCGTGAAGTGGCGGATGTGACTGTGATGGGGACCGAAAGTGATGGTGGCTGGAAACGCGGTGGTGGTAAGATGGCACACTTAGATGTCCGTTGTTTAGCCATCGATCGAGCTAAACGATTTCGGGCCAACACTCTGAAAGATGGTCGATCGCTACAAGAGGCGAACTGAAGGATAGTACGCAATCGATTTAGATCGACATGAACGAAGCTCGAAAGCTGGCCGAGAATGAAATAGCAAGAATATGTGTTTGTGAGTGGTTCTGATTGACGCGAGATATAAAATGAGCTTGTGTTCTATGAATAAGAGACTTCCGATCGAGGCCCATACTTCAACTTTTTGCTTCACGGAGGGTCACTTGACATGACGACAGAGAAGAAGCCGACGCGCCGGAACCCGCTCGTTTTTGGCGAACACCTATCGATCCCACTGCCGACCGCTCTGCAGATGGCTGAAAGCACCCTGCCAGAGAATTAGAGAATGTGGAAGGCAAAGTAGATGGATTTCATCACGCTGACACAGTTGGATACTCAACCAATGGCGTACCAGTTGGCGATGTTCAGGCACGCTGTGGGTGCTGAAGCCAGGAGGGTGCTCGAGACACTAAAGTTGAGCGAGGCAGGTGAGAAAGTCTAGATTCAGGAAGTGCTGAAAAGATTCGGGGCGTTTTGCAAATGAAACCTGTCAGGGGTATTTATTTTTTGGTCGCAACCGATCCCCAAGCAAATCGTTGGAGACTAACATCACAGAACTGAAACTGTTGGCGCGTAACTGCAACTTCTGTAATTGCATGAGAGTCCTTGATACGTGATCGCAGTCATCGGCATAAAGAATGGTGAACTCACTCGGCACCTTCTGAGACAAAGGAATTTGTCTTGGGAACGATGTGTGGACATCTGCTGAGTAAAGCAAAGACGGCGCAGCAGTTCGAGCATGTGAGAGCCGAAAGAAACACCGATCTGTGCGCGGTATCTAGAACCAGCAATAGTCCACCCTAGATGCCCGATGGACAGGGTTCGAGTTGTCAGTTTTGCGGTCGTACACATCCAAAAAGAAAGGAGAGTTGCCAAGCTTGGGGTCGAACGTGTACAAAATGTTCCAAGAAGAACCACTTTGCTCGCTGTTGCAGATCCGCCAAGGTCAGCTCAGTGGTCGAGAGCGTCAACGAACAGATGCAGGAATTTTCGATAAACAACTTGGAAAATCGTAGAGAACATAAGTGTGTTTTCGCGACGCTTTTGATTCGAGGACGACCGGTGCGTTTCCAAATGGACGCAGGGGCTACTGTCAACATCCTACCTGAGAAGCACTGTCTGGGAGTGACATGCGACAGAACGCAGAATTGCCTCAGAATGTGGAACGGTTCAAAGCTGCGACCGAAAGGTACCGCCACGTTGAAGGCCATCAATCCGAGAAACGGCACAGAACACCAACTGGATTTCCTGATAGTCTCAGGAGACCTTAGACTCATTTTGGGCATTGATTCTATTCAAAGTCTCGGTTTTGTTTCTTTTAACCATGAAAGTTTTGTCCATTCGTGTGAAGCTAGCATAGATATTGTTGACAGGTACCCAAGCGTGTTTGACGGGGTCGTAGGGAGATTCGAAGGGTGTGCTCATTTATCTTTAAT